GGTATAGGGATCCTGACGTCTGGAACTAGAGGTGGAAGGCCATAAGCAGCAGGATCGAAATCCTTCGGTTCCACCACGAAATGCCGGGCAAGCCTTCGGTAGAGCATGGCCTGAGTGAAGTACTGGCCCCCCTCGTAATAGCTTTTCCCCTTCAGGGCCAACCACATTGCCCCGGGGCCCTTCACCCAGTCGTCAGCAGAAGCCTCCACCACCGAGGCCACCCACTGTTTGTGCTCTTCAGCCTTCCACCCCTCGGCGAGGAAAGCTGCCACCGCATTCTCTTCGGCCCTGGAAACTGCCTCGGCCTTAGCCTTCTCAGCTTCCTCGGCTGCCTGCTTGGCGGCCTCTGCGGCTGCCCTCTCTGCCTCCGCCTTGCCCTCAGCTCGGGCCCTCTCCTCTGCCTCCCTCAGCTCCTCTTTGGCCTTTTTCAAGGCCACCTCCATCTCAGCGCCATACTTGATGGCCTCGGCGTTCTCCCGGATAAGCTTCTCCAGGGATGCATCATTTTGCGCCTTCCTCGAGCGCATCTGCCCCATCCTCTGAATATACTCGCCGAGGGCCACTGAAGCCTGAAATAAACATAAAGCATGCAAAGTCAGGATCATGCGAAGGGAAAAGACACAAAAAGATAATGGAGCGAAGGGTTCAAGGACTTACAGAGACGGAGGCCTGGAGGGCCTTAAGCTCGAGAGCCTCATCATCGAACCGTCCGAGGGTGGCCCGGTCCAGCGGGGGAGTGGCACCCCTCAGAAACTCCCTCGGGTCGAGGGTGCCATGCATGATGGCTGTTCCCTTCTTAAAAGAGAACTGGGCCGTCTCTTGAGGCCAGGGCCCCTCATCAAGATCTTCAAGGGGAGCGGGCTCCGAAGAGAGGAAAGAAGAAGGCTCCTCGAGAATCACCAAGGGGGCATCCTTCCCCCCCTCGGTTTTCTTCTTCTTCTTGTTCTCCGGAGGCAAGACGCCCTTCCCGGAGTTTTTCCTCTTTAGCTCCCCGGCTTGGGAGCCTCCGGCACCAGTACCGGAATCAACAGCAGCTTTTGCGGGGGGGTCCCTACCCTCCGGGACCTTGGGAGCCCCTGCTTTCTTCAGCACCTCATCGACGAGGGGCTGGTTCGAGGACCCCTTGTCTTTCTTCTTCTTCGGCGCCTTGGCCAGCTTCTTGGACAAACGGGCGAAGGCTTGGACGTCCATTATGTCACCTGCAAAAACAAAGGGAGGTTAGGATCAAGGAAAGACAAGGAGGATTCTTTCTAAGTATCAAAACAAGAGCCCTCGGCAAACAACCTCTGGCATTCTGATACCCTCGGTCGACCTCAGGACATTTTTCGTCCTTCTCCCCCGGAAGGCGATAACGCCGGAAGCCCAGCGAGTACAGTTCCTCGGGGAGCGTGGCCTCCTTGATGGTGATCACTTTGTCAGAGCCCGGGGGTTTCTCGATGAGCTTCCTCCCAGCTTTATCGAGGGCTGCATTGCCCACCTTCGGGTGCCTCTTGAAATGATTGCGCAGGCCCCCTGGGAATGGGTTCTCGGCCACCCGGATGTAGCAGAACTTCTCTTTCCACTCTTTGTGGGATGAGGGGGTCTCAGAGAAGAGTTTCCATGCCGGTACCTGCTGCAGATTCGCATACCCCCCGGCGTGAGAATGTCCCCCTCGGCACAAGTTGAAGGAAAGGAAGAACTGGTCCAACGTGGCGACCACCCCCCGGCTCCGGCAGAGAGCCAGAAACCCCGCCAGATAGTAATGGCTGTTGGGCGTTAGCTGGCAGGGGGCTAACTTCACAAACCTCAGGTATTCCACGACGAAGGAGTGTAGGGGGAATCTGAGCCCTAGCTCGACTGACAGCATGTGCACAGAAAAGCACCCCTCGGGTGGATTGGAGAGCAGGTCTTCCGGTCCCGGTTCCACAACTTGCGCCGATGGCCCCACGAGGATCTGGAGGGCATAGCACTCAGCACTCGAGGCCGTGGTCTTCACCTCAAGAGCAGTGGTGTCCAGGTAGGAGTGACCCTCGGGGATACCAACGGGCCTCCCGGCATCAACGGCTGCTTGCTTCTTCTTCGGAGCAGCCGCCGGTTTTTTCTTCTTTCTCCCCTCGGCTGACCGGAGGGGTTGCACGTCCAGCGGCCGGGAGGTGCTCGCATCACCTGCGCCTCGGGGGGGCATGACGGCGACCGTCACCTGACGGCGCTCCTTTTCTTCTTCCTCCTCGGCCACTTGGACAGCGAGGGCCATCTCCTCATCTTCTGCCACCTGTTCGAACTCCTCAGCCTCCATCTCCACACGAAGGTTGCTCTGAACCTCCTCAGCTACGGCGAGGTCGTTGTTTGTCGAAGGCCGCTAGCTTGAGGACTCCACATCAGAAATGCTCTCTGACGCCACCGAGAGCTCCCTAGAGATGTCTTGTGAATCGCTTTGCGAGGACATTTTGCCCAAGGGATTGTTGGGAAACTTAAGGGAAAATACTAATCGAGGGCTCCTAGTGTTTATAACACAAGATCTAAGATCGAATAGCAAAATATGCTAAGTATGCGAGGAACAGATGATGAACTGACCTTAGGAGTATGAGTTCGATCGAGGGCAAGGTTCTCTCTCTCTAGAAATTTTGGCAGAGCTTCGCTTCACGTCTAAATCGCGCAAGAGAAATGAGACAATCCAGGGGGTATTTATAGGCCTCCGGCCTCGAAAGACGGGCCTCGATTTGAAAAGCCATCATTACGGGCCGCCGGTTCAACCAATGGGCGACTCCCGCCACCTTCGACCAACAAACGTACGCCACGTGGCTCCCACCTCCAACGGCTATATCACAACGGCTCTATTTCGGAGACTCTTGAGACAACCTCAGGCGATAGCCTCCGGCTCTCACTGAGTAGGCCCTTCGGTGAGCAAATATCGCCAAGTACCTTCGAACAAGCTGCAACGTAAGCCTCCGGCTAGCAATATCACCCCCCCCCCCCTCGGGGATTCATCATACAATATAACTCCTTCAGCACGAACTAGCCTTCGGCCTAAAGGAGTGGGGGACTAGGGTACACCCCTCGGGAATCACACAGAGCAAGGTGTCCACATGCAAAAACTTACGAGTGACACATACAGCCTTCGGATAAACACCAAAGGAGAATCCCTCGGGTACACGCATTATCGTACCCTTCGGCTAAAACACAAAAATATCAAAAATTCCCACAAGCCACTGCTAACAATGAGCCAGCCCTCATCACAACGCACACAGGCAACTCATTCATACTTCCCTCAGAAAACCCTCGACATGTGGGGGACTGAGGGGAAGCCCTCGGCAGACAACACCAGAACTCCCTGGTGAAGATGGAATCCTTCGACATGCCAACGCTTCAAACGCAATTTACTCCTTTTCCCTCAAGTAGCTTTCGGCAAAAGGAGTGGGGGACTCCTGATGGAGTATATGGCCCAGGAGCCCCCGGCCCATAGACTCCTAGTTTTCCTAGACAAGCCCAATGGGCCCAGGGAGCGTCTCAGGCCCAAATACAGCGGCCCAAGCATCAAGGGAGCACGGCATGCGCACTGGGATGCATTCGGCCTCCTTGGCCGAAGGCTCCAAAACACACAGGGCATCCAGATTCAAGCGTACAACGCTACTGGGAGAAAACGGCGTAAAAGGTAGCCCTCGGCTACCCGGAGCCCTCGGCACTCAGGGGTGCCTTCGGGCCAAGGGAGCCCTCGGCACCCTCATGGCTCCCACTACAACGAACCCTCTGCCGAAGGGGGAGCCTTCGGCCAACAACTCCATCATCAAAGATTCCCTTGGGAGACAGTCAACCACCGCATTTAATGCAACGTCACATCCACCCACCACATTTAATGCGGCGAACATGCCACTGCCGGTGCCACCCAGTTGATGTGACCCTTCGGCCGTTAGATTACTGACACGTGTACTCTCATCGCATTTATTGCTGCTATAAATAGCTGCCTATTTCTCCTTGTAAAGCAAGTCGACATCTCGACTCACACACTTTGGGCTCATTTAATATAATCGACTCTCTCTCCTCCTATTTACTCTGACTTCTCTCTAAGTTATTCCCGCAATAACCCTTCGGATAAGATACCCCCCGGGTACACTATCCATCAGGCTGTGTGGCCAGATTACTACTCCGTACCTTGGAGTTCTCAAACCCACTATGACAATTTTTTTTTTCTATTTTAAAGTTTTACTTTTATAAGTATTGTGTACTAGTTATTATAACGCGCGTTGTGCGATAAGAAAATGTCCAATGTATTTATGTATGATGAACATTAAGAGATACATGTGTGTGTATCGTTGTTTTGTTTACGTGTTTGCGGTAAACTGCACACACAGATTAAATAAATTTACATATCTGGATTTACATATACGTACTATGATGTCCAGATGGTAAAGCAATTGAAATCATCATGTTTTCTGGATTTAAAAGCATATAAGCATTCAATTTAACAGCTAAAATAGGCTACAAAATATCAATACTTTTGGTATTCCGGTGCTCCCTATCTTCCTCTTTGTCCATTTCAAGTTTCCTCCAAACACCTCTTCCATACTTTGTCACACACTTGTTAATATTTGAAACATGGAACACGGGCAATTTGGAAATGGATAGATCCTCTTGCGATGTTGGCCTCACATTCTATTTTATACTACCTCCATTCCATGAGAAGATTTCCGTCCACTATTCACATGGTCAACTTAAATCATTTTTAATCTTTTGCTTTATATATCAAATTTTTGTCAAATTTACATTTTTTTATTAGACTTTGTAGCGGTTTTAATGCATCTTGTTGGCCATTTATTTGACAAGTCTGCAATCTAAGAAAATTATACTCCCTCCATCCCATTAGAAGGTTCTCACTTTCCTTTAGTGGATGTCCCATATAAATGTTCTCATTTCCATTTTAGGAAACAATTAACAATCTTAAGAGAGACATTAATCATTAAATATTAAAAATAATACATTTATAATTTCACAGTTATCAATACTAACTACATTGTAATACATACTGTTGGGTATATTACCCCGGCCCACTACTGTTCAGAGGCCCAAAGCATCACCCCGATACGGAACCCAATTGGCGAGGCCCGTTTGGGCTCGCCCGGCCCATTTAGGCCTGCTTCGGCCCATTAGGCCCGTTGGCCCATCAGAGACCCTCCCCTATTTCCTATAAATAGGGAGGAGGGCTCCCATTTAAAAGGATCCTCTCTTTTTGGCTTTTGGCTCTTCTCTCCCAGGAGAGTTCTCTTCTTCCTCCCTCCTGTATATTTTTGATAGATTAGCAAGCTTCAAACCTCCATTAATGGAGTTCAAGAGTTGTAATATGTAAATGAGTGATGGGAGGATATTAATGAGAAAGAGCGGGCTTGGACGTTAGCCTAAAAAGTCCCGTGGTTTTCTCCCTTTCCAGGTTTCCACGTAAAAATAGATAGTTCATACACATTTATATATTTTATTTATGTTTATGCCGAATCCATCGTCCTGAATATCCGAAGTTTATGTTGGGCTTCCGGATCTACGAGACAAAACCTCAACATTGGCGCCGTCTGTGGGAAACGCTTCAAAAAGATTCGTGTTCTGCAAAATTTTTGATACTAAAAATTATCGATTTAAGCAAGAAATGAAGGAAAAATGATCCTGGGAAACTTTGAGTCGTAGCAAGGAAGAAAAGGAGGGAAAAATGATTTCCAGAAAGAAGGGAAAAAGAATGGAATAAGCCCAGATCCAATCTGGCAGCTTGGTTTTTGGTCACTGCAGCCCCACAAATTCAGCACACCTTCTCGATGGAAAAACACCGATGGAGATGACCATGTTAGCCAGCAAGAAGAAACCAGAATGATGCTTCACCAAAGAAACAGCCAGTGGAAGAAGAAAATGTAAATGGGGCCCACATGCCCACTAACTTGAGAAAAGAGGAAATATCTATTATTTTCACGTGGCTGACAAATACAAAGCAAGTGGATGATTTGACAGTCATCATTATCCAAAACAAGCTTCACTTCCCGAATGCCGAACGGTATAATACATATTCATGAGGGAACAGACGTGATGAACAAGGTCAAAGCTATGACGACAACGTAAGGGAACAATCTCAAACAGCAGCACTTCCTGCTCGAGCAGCCTGGTTGCTCTGGCATCACCTAGCCTTGAGACATCACATCCCGAACGGGAAGCTCCTGAACGCTCAAAGCTAACAACCGCAAACCAGCATCAAAACCCCAGGTGCTCTCAGCCATGGATGCCAGGGAGCCGCTATCCCTGTTTAAATGCCGTTCGGTCACCGTTTACCGAACGGGAATGTGCACAACCAACATATATCGGCTGTAACCCTGCCCATCCATTTTGGGCAATCAAAGCATAGGAAAAAATCAACTCTGGGAGATTACCTGAACGGGAGTTTCCCGAACCCCATACCCAGGAGCACGTCACCTGCGACGCTGCCTGGCTCTAATGCCGACCAATCTTCTTTCAGGCGGAGATAGCAAATCTTGTTCGTGCAACCACCGTCCACCGGCGACCAGCAAAATTGCGTCCAGGCAGGGATAACGGGGTGAGGCGACCTACGTCTCCCAACTACCGCCGCCGTTCGGGACCCAGATAGGGCACTCCAAGCAATCTTCTTGCTCTAGCCGCGGCTGCTCGTGCTACCCGTCCGGCCAAACCTATGCAAGGAAAATCTCGTCTCCATTCCTGCTCCAAGGTCTGGCTACTGGGATGAAACTCCCGCTCAATACTCAACACCTAGCCGTCCAGCATGTGCCGGTCGGGTCTGGCTTCCGCAGGTTTCCTTGGGGTTGACGTACTATGCAGCTGCGCTTAGGAAGATTCGGCTGAGCTGCGATGTGTTGGCGTGAGATGCCTTCCATAGAAGCAGGCCCACCACAGCAAAGGACAAGGCACCGAATTGAGATTTGGGCTTCAGCTGTACGGGTAGATGGGCCAGAACCGAACGGGGGTTTTTCCTGGATCAGCAATAGTTCAAGCTCACATTGTGCCAGCCCATCTCCAGGAGCTAAGTATCACATACTTTCTTCCTTTATTGATTAAAGTAGTAGAATAATACGGAGTGGTATTATTTCACTTTTAGGTGTATATCACCATCATTTTATAAGGATCAACGTATCCCGGGCAAAATAATACCGAACGAGGCCCCAATAATTAAAGTACACCGTCATTTTTAAATCAAATGATTGGTTGTAATGGGGGTCATTGGCTTACCCCGATCGGCCTTTACTTGTTTAGTAGGGATTAAAATATCCCGAGTGAAATAAATATCGAGCAACGCTCGAGTGATAAATCCACTGCCATTTGTGAATTAAAATGATTGGTTGTGGTGGGGGCCATTGGGTTATCTCAATCGGCCTTAATTTGCGGCCTTAATATTACTAGGTGATTATTTGTTTAGTAGGGATTAAAATATCTCAAGTTAAATAATGACCGAGCGAAGCCCCAATGTTTGAGTACACCGTCATTTTTAAATTAAATGATTGGTTGTAGTAGGGGCTATTGACTTATCCCGATCGGCCTGAATTAGCAGTTGGAGCATTTGTGGACCCGCTCGGTGAGGCCGGACATCCATGAAAAAATTGAATAGAATGATGTATTAATACTTCTGAGCGATTATCTGGTTGGGAGGGATTAAAATATCTCGAGTTGAATAATAAACTGGGCGAAACTCTCGTAAGGAATTCACCAACATTTTAAATTAAATGCTTAGTTTGAGTGGCCGAACGGTCCACTCCCGATCGGCCAAAACTTATTGACTAAAGCATTCCATAGGGCGTGGCCTAAGGACATATTTTAATTTAGGGACCATTCATGGTCCCGATCGGCATTAAATGCCAGGTCGACAATTGTACCCAGTACGGGGCGAAATACGTACTTGAATACTCGGCAAAACACTAGGTGCTTCCGGTCGTGGACTCTGGCAATTCGAGAAATAATTCTAGACCGAGGGTTATTATTACTACTTCGGCTGATAATCATAAGGAAACAAAGGAAAATATTATACGTATGTGAATGTATATACTTGTATATGTTGTTTGGCCGTACGGCCGTATTACCATGCTAATTGTGCAGTGAAATTTGTTCGATATTCTCGAACGGGGAGATCATGATGCACAGAGATGTTCATGACGACTCGGCATGAAGCGCGTAGACGTTCATGACTAAAACGGGAAATGGAAAAGGAATCACATTCTTCCAGGGCCGTTCGATGTTCTCGAACGGGGAAATTATGGAGCACAGGGATGTTCATGACGTTTGACATGAAGCGCAGAGACGCTGATGAATGGGAACGAAAAGAAGGAATACTTACACTCAGAGCCGGTCGGTCAGACCGGACGGGAACATCAGGAAACGCAGGACATCCACAATCGGCAAAAAAAAAAAGAAAGGAAAAGAAAAAAAAAGGGGAAAGAAAAAAAAAGAAAAGAAAAAAAAAAGAGAAAGAGGAAAGGAAAGAAAGAAAAAAGTATAATAACAAAAAAAAAGAGAGAGAGAGACTACAAATGTATAGATATCACGACGCGTGAAGGGAAGTCCTATGGACTGTACGCCACATGAGCTTTCAGATTACGCTCCATGACTGGCAATCCGGCCTCCGCTATTGGCACATAGAGCGAGCAACATTATGGGCAGAGGGCGCCGGTAAGCCCCTCGGATTTACAGATCGGCCTCCCAACGCCGACTTTTCTCTCACCACGACCGACCCTCCTGGTTTGGCATGGTGATCATTTGGAAGACCGGCCTCATCTCCGCTCCTCGCGGATGAGGACTGTTGATTATTTCTTTCTGATCGGCCCCCAGCGCCGACATCATTACATGGCCACCGACCCCCTGGTACGGTCCCATCACCACATTTTGAAGACCAGCTTCATCCTCGCTCCCCACGGATGAATATCGTTGCTCGAGCTTTTGGATCGGTGACTTAGTACCGACATCTTTACAGCATGACCATACTTTATGGACCGGCTGCCACAGTTGCCGCTGTTTGTCCCCATATCATGATCGGCCTCTCGGCACGACATGTTTACTATTTTAGAGGCATCTTCACGCTCCACGGAGGAAGACATACTATCGGGATGATCGGATCGCTTCTATAGCTCTACGCTCAGCCACCTCGGCACGGCGTGATCATCATTGTGAGTCCCTGTATTTGTATATATATACATATTTAAAAAAAAAAGATATATAAGAGGTGGATGCGAGATTCCGTCTGGAAAACCCAGAGAGAAAATGAGAGAAAAGGAGATCAGGGCTCCTCAATTATCGCCTCAACCATAGGTATGAATGAACCGTATCGGAAAAACCGAACGTGGCATTGAAACTGTGGTTTGGCGGCGAAGGGCAGACCATTAGTATGGATGATCCGGACCGGAAAAACCGGACGATTGCATCGGAACTATTGGTCAAAATCCTCAATCGTCATAGGTTCATCGGACCGTTCTAGTGGGACGAACGGACGAATGGAACTATGAATTCATTGAGTCTCATTTCAGTCAGGGGAGAACGACCCGTTCGTCGAAGGCGAGCGAACGGGGGACACAAACTGACTTGGAGGTGATGTGAAACAAATGGTGGAACACAATGGTCTTGGGTCGACAGGTCTGTATCTGATAGAGTCCGTGGAGCACCCCGTCCGAAAGATAGGGGGGTTCTACGACCGTGTTCACCAGTACGTGGCATAAACATTTGGGCTACCCAAATGTCGCGACGGCTCGTTGAGTGTGGTAGCCATCCCCAACCAATTAGTTAGAGCGATCCGTCCAAATCAGACCGGACAGGTGATCTCGGCTGGTTGGTTTGAGCTGGGGAATTAAAGCTAACATTCTTCTCTCAATCATTTTATGCAGCACGCACGGGCTCCACAGCACCGTCGTGTTTTGCTCTCGGTTTGGCTCGTCCATCCTTAATCTGGGATGACGACCGCCGCTTTTTTGCAGCACGCACGGGCTCCACAGCACCGTCGTGTTTTGCTCTCGGTTTGGCTCGTCCATCCTTAATCTGGTATGACGACCGCCGCTTTTATGCAGCACGAACGGGCTCCACAGCTCCGTCGTGCCTGGTTCTCGATCGGGCTCGTCCATCCTTGATCTAGGATGGCGACCATCGCTCTTATGCAGCATGCACGGGCTCCACAGCACCGTCATGCCTGGCTCTCGGTCAGGCTCGCCCATCCTTGATCTGGGATGGCGACCGCCGCTTTTATGCAGCACGAACGGGCTCCACAGCTCCGTCGTGCCTGGTTCTCGATCGGGCTCGTCCATCCTTGATTTAGGATGGCGACCATCGCTCTTATGCAGCATGCACGGGCTACACAGCACTGTCATGCCTGGCTCTCGGTCAGGCTCGCCCATCCTTGATCTGGGATGGCGACCGCCACTTTTATGCAGCACGAGCGGCTAGCTCTACAGCGCCGTCGTGCCTAGTGCCGGATTGCATCTCACTTATGGCTTATGCATGCCGTGCGCCCAAGACTGTTCAAAGACACTGATTCAGGGGGGCAAGGAAGGACGTGAGCAAGAGTATACTTTCTCGAGCAGATTCACATGCTCACTACTCAAGAAACTGGGGGACTTGTGTTGGGTATATTACCCCGGCCCACTACTGTTCAGAGGCCCAAAGCATCACCCCGATACGGAACCCAATTGGCGAGGCCCGTTTGGGCTCGCCCGGCCCATTTAGGCCTGCTTCGGCCCATTAGGCCCGTTGGCCCATCAGAGACCCTCCCCTATTTCCTATAAATAGGGAGGAGGGCTCCCATTTAAAAGGATCCTCTCTTTTTGGCTTTTGGCTCTTCTCTCCCAGGAGAGTTCTCTTCTTCCTCCCTCCTGTATATTTTTGATAGATTAGCAAGCTTCAAACCTCCATTAATGGAGTTCAAGAGTTGTAATATGTAAATGAGTGATGGGAGGATATTAATGAGAAAGAGCGGGCTTGGACGTTAGCCTAAAAAGTCCCTTGGTTTTCTCCCTTTCCAGGTTTCCACGTAAAAATAGATAGTTCATACACATTTATATATTTTATTTATGTTTATGCCGAATCCATCGTCCTGAATATCCGAAGTTTATGTTGGGCTTCCGGATCTACGGGACAAAACCTCAACACATACCTATTAAAATTATTTCTCAAAATATACTTATAAGCTTCGCCATTGCACCCGCTACTTGAGCTAATTGTCCACCCCTTCCACGTGTGATTTCTAGATTATGTATAGTTGTGCCTAAGGGGATTTTGATCAATTTGGATTGAAACATCTGTACCAGAAACAATGGTATCTCCAATTTGAGCCCCTCTCGGATGTAAAATATACTCCCTCCGTCCCATTTAAAGGTTCTCGTACACTATTCTCCGGTCAACGTGCATTCCTCTTAATCTTTTACTTTATATATCGAAAGTTTATGAAATCTAAACTATTTTTTGCAGGTTTTGTAGCGGTTTTAATGTAGTTTCTGAATATGTAAATTTTATTTTTTAAAAACAATTCTATTAATGACAGGGGTCGGTTAACTTTATGGTCGGTCAAACGTCGTAAACTGTGTGGGAACCTTAAAGTGGGACGGAGGGAGTACTTCTTCTCACCAAGCCCAAAACTCCATTCCCCTATCCATTGTCCCCTTGTTTCGCTCTTCCTCTAAGGCGTTGTTGTGTAACAAGCGCATAATGTCCACTGCAACGCCCATGCAGTTTATCATCAACTTGATGAATTACGACTAATTCTGACAATTCCGACAATGGCAGGAGAAAAGGCGACATTTACCTATTATAGAGATGGTGTGATTTGATTATTGATTTATCATTTTGTTCTTTTTTTCTTTCATCTGGAATAATGTTTCTAAGCTTTATGAGAAAGACAACAAATACAACTCACTAATTATTATCATAAAAAAAGTCAAATTTTTAGAACCAGCAAGTTGTTCTATTGTAACCAGTTAGCTGAAGTTTTTGCTTTTATTGTAGAAATTACGTTTTATTTCAGATTCATATCATCAGAGCGGAGGTCGTACTACTTCTGAATTGCTATTGTGTATTTAGACAATATTTAATTATTGTCAAAATAACTGTACCGTTTTGCTATTAGAACCTTTCAATGGGACGGAGGCAGTACTACTTAACATTTAGATGTAAAATGCCCAGTACCTAAACCATAGATTCTTTCACAAAGTAAGGATGTTTTCTTTTGGACTATTTTCAGTCCCAGACGTACCAGACCAGGCCGGAACAGACCAGACCAGACCAGACCAGGCCAGACTTTTGTAGTTATAAAATACACATAGACTAGATATTTATCAAACCAGACCGGTTCAGACCATACCAGACCAACAAATTTTAGTCCAAAAGAAAACATCCTAATAGTTACACCAGCAAACTAAAAAGTAATGCAACAGAAGAGCAGGTTTGAATTGCAAATTTTGATATACGTATTCTTAAGGTTTAATTGCTTCATTTTTTTCAATTGTGCTACTACATACATATTGCAGCCCTTAATTAAACTATTTCTTACAAGAAGTACATGAATCGGTAGAACATTTGACAATCAGAATTCAAACAGAAGTTAAATACGCAGTACAAGGTTTTATAATTGGAAAAGTTAAATCACTTACGGGGGAAGTTGTCAAAAGAGCTGATTAATTTGTTTTTGCAATCAGTACTGCCATCTTGGTTCTTTTCTATGATAGGTACCTGCAGATTAAAGGTTATTTGCCATAGCCATATGTTGTACGGAGTATCATAATAATTGGTCTACAGTGCAAAGTAATTTAAGAGGCAGAGATAGTTAGATGGTCTCCAAATGGGTAATTAACGGAGGAGATGAGGAGAATGGTCAGATGGTCTCACTCTCTAGACGGTAAGATAACGGAGGAGACATGGATAAACATAACGGAAATAGGAGCTTAATAATAAGAAGTACAATAGCTTTTGCAAAATGTACAATATCATATAGCTATAAAATTACACCAACACATTTTCATATTCAAAATATCCCTACCCTCATTCACATTTATAAGTTTTTAGATTATTATTTTGAGCTTGTTGTTTCCTTACATAAATTTTGTGTTACAGTGAAAATGAGTAAAATATTTATAAAAAAATGTGCAGGTTAAAAGAAGTGATCATACTTAATAGAATGTTTAAGCACGTTAGAGAATTCAAATGATCTTTTGAATTTTTTATGTTCATGATGGAGTATATGGCCCAGGAGCCCCCGACCCATACACTCCTACTTCTCCTACATAAGCCCACTGAGCCCAGGGAGCATCTCAGGCCCAAGGACAACGACCCAAGCCTCAAAGGAGCTCAGAATACGCACTGGGGTGCCTTCGGCCTCCTTGGCCGAAGGCTCCAAATTACACAGGGCAGCCAGGTTTGGGCATACAAAGCTACTGGGAGAAACGGCGTAAAAGGGGTAGCCTTCGGCTATCCGGAGCCCTCGGCACCAACGGTGCCCTCGGCATTAGAGGGGTCTTCGACATCCTCAGGCCTCCGGTTACACCAAGCCCTCGGTCGAAGGGGGAGCCTTCGGCCAACGGCTCTATCATCAAAGATTCCCTTTGGAGACAGCCAACCACCGCATTTAATGCGGCGTCACATCCACCCACCGCATTTAATGCGGTGAACATGCCACTGTCGGTGCCACCCGATTGATGTGACCCTTCGGCCGTTGGATTACTGACACGTGTACTCTCATCGCATTTATTGCTGCTATAAATAGCAGCCCTTATTCCCCTTGTAAAACACGCTGAGTTCGTTTAATACAATCGACTCTCTCTCCTCCTATTTGCTCTGACTTCTCTCTAAGTTATTCCCGCAATAACCCCTCAGATAAGATATCCCCCCCGGGTAGACTATCCATCATTTGGTGCTTTCATTGAAAGGTCTGAACAATCAAGGAAGAACCACCCGTGGCCAATCTAAAACCCTCGAGGAAAACCACGTAGCCCCCGACGAAACCAACGGGGCCGAAGCCTCCAACAGGCTCTTGGTACCCGAAGGCGGCACCATCCTCGAATTAGAGCAGGCCGCCACTGACCTCCGTCAGCAGCTTCAGAAGGCTGCCCCTGATGCCCGCATTAGGCTTGATAATCGAAGGAGGGATCGGAGTGAGGGCCAAGCCCCTCCTCCGGCCCCGTCCATCGATCTTCAGGCTGCCTTTGCGGCCTTTGTCCAAAATATGGCCCTCAACCCCGGCGCCTTCGCCACTCAGGCACCCCTCCAGCCCTATTTTGGAGGGAATATTGTTCATTTTCCACCACCCCCTCCTCTGTTCGGCAATCCCGTCATGCCGGTTGGCAACGCCGAGGGGGTCGTGGCGCAAGATACCGCCTCCCAAGAGGCCCAATCCAAAGACAAGCGGCCCATGAACAAAGAGAAGCCCCGAACCTCTGCCCTTGAGAGGTTGGGAGCAGCTCCTGACCGCCTCGGTGGTAAAGCAATCAGCAGGCCTCAGGAGAGTGGGGGCTCATTCTCGGGGGCCGAAGAGAGGCCTCCCCCTCGGGACAAAGGTAAGCCCCCCCTCCATCCCGAAGACGCCAGGCACCAGATCAACAACGCTCAGTCCTTCCGGGCCAACTCCCAAGGGGTTGATCCGAAGGACCCGAAGGATGAAATCAGCGAGGCCCTCCTCCGCCAACTTGAGGAGGCCCGTCAGGCGCCCCCAGCAGACCCAGCGCTTCAACACAATTACTCCTTTTCCCTTCAAGTACCCTTCGGCAAAAGGAGTGGGGGACTCCTGATGGAGTATATGACCCAGGAGCCCCCGACCCATAGACTCCTACTTCTCCTACACAAGCCCACTGAGCCTAGGGAGCATCTCAGGCCCAAGGACAACGGCCCAAGCCTCAAAGGAGCTCAGAATACGCACTGGGGTGCCTTCGGCCTCCTTGGCCGAAGGCTCCAAATTACACAGGGCAGCCAGGTTTGGGCATACAAAGCTACTGGGAGAAATGATGTAAAAGGGGTAGCCTTCGGCTATCCGGAGCCCTCGGCACCAACGGTGCCCTCGGCATTAGAAGGGTCTTCGACATCCTCAGGCCTCCGGCTACACCAAGCCCTCGGCCGAAGGGGGAGCCTTCGGCCAACGGCTCTATCATCAAAGATTCCCTTTGGAGACAGCCAACCACCGCATTTAATGCGGCGTCACATCCACCCACCGCATTTAATGCGGTGAACATGCCACTGCCGGTGCCACCCGATTGATGTGACCCTTCGGCCGTTGGATTACTGACACGTGTACTCTCATCGCATTTATTGCTGCTATAAATAGCAGCCCTTATTCCCCTTGTAAAACACGCTGAGTTCGTTTAATACAATCGACTCTCTCTCCTCCTATTTGCTCTGACTTCTCTCTAAGTTGTTCCCGCAATAACCCCTCGGATAAGATACCCCCCGGGTAGACTATCCATCAGTTCATTTTGTAAATTATGTATATTCATCTGATGCTGGTTTTATACTCATTTTATAGATACAAGAGCACATACAATGATGCTGAATTACATGTTTCTAATACTTAATAGAAGATGTATGATGCTCAATGGAAATGTCTTGATGTTCAAATAAAAATACTTATAATTTTCATAACAATACTCATTTCATGAGTTATTTATGCTCAAGAGGTACTCATGTTATACTCATTTTTAAAATGTCATATCAATACATATTTTAAAACTACCATATTACATTAGATTCCTATGAGATCGAATTGATTATAGACACAAGAGTAGAGATTACGATACTCAATTAATTACATGCTTTTAATACTTAATAGGAAAAGTTTGATGCTTAATTAAAATGTCTTGATGATCATATAACAAAGCTTATTATTTTCATATCAATGCTCATTTTGAAAGTTATTTATGATCAATTTAAAATATCGTACCAATGTTTATTTTAAAATTATCATATTACATTAGATTCACATATTCAAATTCATAAGAATTGATTATATTCATATAATTTAATGAGTTTTAATATAAAAAAATAAGAAAAAGAAAGTGAATTACAACATTACATTGCATTCACACGAGAGTTGATTATAGACACGAGAGGAGAGCTCATGATACTCAATTGCACGCTTTTAATACTCAATAAAGAGGTGTTGATGCTCAATGAAAAATCTTTGATGCTCAACTAAAGATGTTTATTGTTTTCATATCAATGCTCATTTTGTAAGTTACATATGCTCAATTCATACTGATGTTATGCCCATTTTTAAAATATCATATCAATGCATATTTCAAAAGTATTATATTACATTAGATTCACATATTGAACTTCATAGAAATTGATAATATTTTAATTTAATAAGTTTTATAAAAGAAAAAAACGAATTAGAAGATATGACGCAGAGATTATGATACTCAATATTAGACTCCTAATAATCAACAGAATAGGTCTAGGACTAATTAAAAGTTCATTAATGCTCATTTAACATAAAACATTATTTTTATCACAATATAGGAGGTTTGATGCTCAATGAAAATATTATTACGCCCAACTAACAAACCTTGCGATTTTCATATTTATGCACATTTTGAAAGTTGCATATGCTCATTTGATACTGATATCATGCTCGTTTTTAAAATGACATATCAATGCATTTTTCAAAAGTATAATACTACACTAAATTCGCATATTGAAGTTTATAGAAGTTGATTATAAATATAATTTAATGAGTTTTTGTAAAAGATACAAAAATAAGAAAAAGAAAGTGAATTACAATATATAAAATTGATATCACAATACTCATTATTCGACTCTTAATACTCAGTCCAATATGTTTGATGCTCATTAAAAGTGTATTAATGTTCATCTAACGAAAATCGCAATTTTCACTCAAATTACGAAAATGTCACCATTTTTTATTTATGATAGCAATTTTCTTGTAATAAGACGGTACTTATTATTAGATGCTTATACTCATCAAAATTGGACTATTGCTCATTAACAATACACAAAGGTTCATTTAGCAGAAATCACGATTTTTACATTAATTACAAAATTGCCACCGAATTATTTTTCTATTTTCCCATTAGACCTGTAACTGGGCCGGCTGTACAGTGCTCGCCGTACAGCCGGTGGTACCATATACCAACTCCTTGTTGCTGCTCATCCCAATCTTTATATGTACCTATTTTTTATTTTTATTTTACTTTTAACAATTCAATCATTAAAATTTAGTTCACTAATGTGGTAAGGCATGGATCATGTGCGTAGTATTTTATATGGACCATTTTAATTGCAATTTTAAAATTTAGTTCGCTTTATGTGGTAAGGCATGTATCATGAACCTAGTACTCCATCCGTCCCATTTTACCTATCTTACTTTCTTTTCTGGGTTTTCTCAAAATAAGTGTCATCTTTCTTTTTTTAAAAAGAAATATGTGGCTCACAACATTTCACTTTAGTATACTCAAATGTCAACCCCAACTTTTACCTTTTCAACCACTTTATTAAAAATTATGTCAAAACCAAAGGAGACATATAAAATGGGTATACGTAGTTTAACATTAAAATCATGCAATTATAATACTTAATAATAAAAAATTTAAAATAACTCAAAAGGCATGAGATATTTTTGTCACAGAAGATAAGATTATGATTAACACTTAGAGCATCTCCAATGCTACAATGTCCACGGTGCACATGTGGCATGAGAGAGATAGACACAAAAAATTGATTTTATGACATTCCTCTCTCAGTCTTTCTACGGTTTTATTTGTTTTTGGTTAGTTTTTCTCTGCAATGTCAACCATAATGTCTACATCTAGACATTGTGCTTGACATTGTGAAGAAAAATTTACAAAAATGATATAAGATCCTTCAAATAAGGAGAAATATATTTTATTTACTGTTTTTTGATTGGCTATCTCTGATGTCACGTATGCACCGTTAACGTATTAACATTGGAGATGCTCTTAGAGCATCAATTTATGTGAATTGCCACATCACACTCCACAAAAATTATCATCTCCAGCGCTAATATGCATTTTAGCTGTGATGCTGAGTTGTAATGCAAATGAATGGACGGTGTCTATTTGCCTTTCTATGAGCCCGTTTGGAGACCCCCTTTTTCGGCTTATCAGCCAGCTTTTTCACCAAACACGTAATTTTTACTTTCGCGTGCTGAATTGTGTAATAAGCAGAAAAAGTAAGGTTGGAGTTACTTTTCTGGCTGTATTTGCTAAAGTTACTGTAGATGACCATTTTAACTATTTTTACATATAATTTTTTCTTTATTTTATTAATAAAATATATTTTTAAAATATTTTTTTCTAGAATCAGCCAAAACAGCCACTTCAGCCAGAACTTTATAAATTTCAGCAGAAACAGCCAAAACAGCCGATTTTCATGCTACCAAACGGGCTCTAGATGTAGCAGTTATGTCTCACCTCGTGACTCAGCACAAAATTGATTATACGGAGTAATACGACACAGTATTTCATTAGCATCTATCCTCTTGTTCCCGTCCGGTTGCAATAGTACCCGATGCGACGACTAACTCCGGCACCATCTCACAAATCGCAGCCCCTTTTCACGGCGGCAGCGGCGGGCAACCTCTTTTTTCTCCGGCTATCGTCTTCTCCTACTCTTCAAACTTCGAAAATAGAGATTGCCTTCCCTTCCAATTTCCAAAGCTTGAGCACTCTTTCCGATCTCTTTCGGTGTTGTTGGCTATTGTCCCTGCTATCCTCATCACGTCAGCTTCCTCTGTATGCTTGAGGAATTGGGGGTAACAAGGAGTCAGGGACTTCTTTCTTGTCCCACATGCTGGAAGCTCATTGGAATTACTTTCTGCACTCATTCTTTGAGGTTTCAATTTGGTTCCTGTGATCTATCTAGACTCAGAGACGGTTTATGTCTTAGCCTCAGTCGTCGTCATATCAAGCAAATATGTCAACTTTTTGCAGATTACATAATCAAATCTTCTCCTCCCTCAGCAAGAGGCATCCCTGTAGTGTTCTTCATTTACACTTCTTGTACTATTTCGCCGTTCTTTTCATTTTCGACCATCAGGCATGTGTGTATGTATATATTAGTATATTATATAATATACTCCGTATATTTAAAATATACTTCGTATAATGCCTAACTAATGGGGGAATCCACTATATACTCGGTATACTGCCTTTTAATTTCAATTTTTGTGTATGAGCGGAGAATGCAAGAAGGCTCAACTCCGTTGGAGAAGAAGAATGAATTTAAGGGTCTCTGCATTCACGTCAGCTACACAGGATGTCCATACGGATGAGGTGTCCAAACCGGTCTTATCTACGTAGGACTTGGGACGTAGGACTTATCTCACCATTTTCCCTACTCTCTAGTCTCTACCTTCATTTCTTCCATCACATCCCATCCCATCTCAATTTTCCCACTTCTTCATTCGCCGCATAACATAGAAGAATTACTCGGTATACCACGTACTATGGAAACAGCTCTCTTCTCACCATCTTCTCTATTCGCCGACTCCGACTACAACTCTGCTGGTACCTGTGTACTTACTTTCTTCTATGTTATACGACACACTATCATATACTCCATTTTTACACACTAGGAGGCTTCTTTGCAGATGAGGAGATTACAGATTCTCAAAACCAAAACTTCGTAGAGAGGAGCCACCAGTTTCCTGGGATGGTAATTCTCCTGAAATGATTTCACACTACTTAATTCTCCATAAAAGGGGGAAAAGTCTAAACGTTTTAGGGTTTTTTGGAATGTCAAAGCTTTAACTGAGACAATATCCAAAATTCAACCTTAAAGTTTAATTTTTTCCAACCATAAAGCGGAACAGACATTGCCACATGGACACACTTTGCTCCTTCGTCCAATTCATCACCTAGAAGTTTAATTTTAGTTATACTCTCATGTACACTGAGGATTCTTTGGTTATGTTATGCGATTGAAAATGTAATCTAATATGTTTCAAATTTAGAAATTTGCAGTCTGTTTTGGTCTACTGAAAATGTGAATTGTAGCCTGAAAGAATTACTCCATGTATGGTGTATCTTTTGCCTCTCTAATTGAAAGTAGTAGCTGTGCTACACTGCTAGTTTGTTCCATCCAATTTAAGCATGTAGCTTCATCTATCATCATCCATCAAATAATCTAATATAAATGTTTAATAGTTAAATTTTGCTAATAAGAATGTTTCTTATTAGCTTCTTTGGTTTCTTGGTTTTATATTTGGTTGATTTACGTTTTGGATTTTGGGGTTTTTGGTTTTGATGATAAAACTTTTGTTTTACATTTCTATAGCATCCATTGATTCAATCTTTTGATGTTCTCCCATCAGGGTCGATCCATAATGTCAGGACTCAGACCGGATCTTCCTAAATTTCGGAGAATGTAAAGTTTTGGCCTCAAAGTATTAAATTTGAAGTGCAGGCTCTCTAGTTACAACATTCTGTCTTCTCCACTGCTTATGGCCAATGTTGTTCTTATATATTGATCGTATAAATATTGGTTTTGTGTACAGGTATTGCTTGTTCGAGAGTTTTGTTTCCACGAGTTGAATGCAAATTTACTTTGGCCTGGGACGTTTGCATTTGCAGAGTGGCTAGTTGAACATAGATCCTGGTTGGAAGGTCAGAGGATACTTGAGTTAGGCAGGTACCCCTCTTTCCAGACTCCTTATTGAGAAGCTTTGTGTTTCTTTTAATTTCATGCTTTACAATATTCCATGTGCTTAGAGGCCTGCATTTGGGTTTGATCCAGTTGTTGAAATTTAATTTGATAAGATCACCTTATCTGCCCTGTTTGCATATAAGCCAAGCGTCATCATCATCTTCCAGAAGTGGTTCAGCTAGTCGTAATTCTAGTCCTGATCGGCGGAATTATTCGAGGTGGATGCAAAATCGATTTACCATTATTCAATGGTACGGATGCTTACGGCTGGATTATCAGGGTCGAACGCTTCTTCAAACTTAACCAGATTGAGGAGGGAGACAAAGTATCCGTGGTGATGATAGCTATGGAAGAGAGAGCCCTCAACTGGTTCCAGTGGTGGGAAGAGAAAACCAAAGAACGCAGCTGGGAATGCTTCAAAACTGCTTTGGTTCGTCGTTTCCAACCAGAACTCGTACAGAACCCTTTCGGTCCCATGTTGAGTATCAAACAGACGGGAAGAGTCATGGAGTATCGCGAACAGTTTGAATTGGTGGTTGCACCCCTGAGAAACACAGATGAGGAGATGCTGAAAGGAATTTTCATCAACGGATTAATAGAGGAGGTGAAGGCTGAGCTGAAACTGTATCCATCCACTTCTCTATCTGAATTGATGGATCTAGCTCAGTTGCTAGAAGAGAAAAACACTGCTATGAGATCAGGAATACATAAGGAAGATGACAAAAAGTACTCGAAAGAACAGGGAGGGACTATGTTCAGGCATTTGAACTGGGTGGAAGCAATTAAGGAAAGAACATCTCCTATGCAATCACGAACTCCTGGGGGAACACTTTCAGAGAACAAGCAGACTACTGAGAGAACACTTTCAGAGAACAAGCTGGAGGAGTCGCCAAAACGGAATAAGACATGGGAGGGCGGCCAAAGGTTGACACAAGCGGACGTAGAAGAAAGAAGCAAGAAGGGCCTATGCTTCAAATGTGGAAACAAATGGGGCAAAGAGCATGTGTGTGGAATGAAACATTATCAATTTGTATTGATGGAAGAGCCAGAAGAAGAAACGGGAACAAGTGATCAACAGCCCGAACTGGATGGAGCCGCTAACTCGCTGAAATCAAATGCCAGAGCAGTATCTTACTATCCACCTTGAGGACAAGGTGGAAGTTCAGGGGGGGAGTGATGTTAGAGACCTGGGCACTACCAATAATTTGAGTCTATTAAGTATTTAATGTTGTTCAATAATAGGGTTTTAGGCCCAAAAACTTAAGTGAGGGCCAGCCCTTTTAGGAGAGTTTTATTATAAAAGAGGGTAGGGGAAGAATAAACGTAGGTAGAACTTGGGATCTGGGATTGGAACTGGGAGTGAGAGACCACTCGAAGAGTCTCAAACCTTTTCTTCGTAACTTTCTGTTTTCCTTCACTAAATCTACATTAATATACTACTATTATCTACTCAGATTCTTCCATTACCTATCACAAATTTCCTCTTAAGCAGCAAACTTTCACAAAAAGTATTCATAATTTGTAGAAATAATATCCCAAAGGTCAGACCAACTCAAACAAAAACTCATATATTCATAAGTGGATGATATCAAATTATCACCCATCTCAGTTTAACTCCAAACAAAAAATAGTTAACTCCGTACCTATGCATCTAGTATTCTGAATTATGTAGTAATTGTCTTCCTTCTAAGCTTTAGAAACAAAAAATGTCTAGTCTTCTACCTTGGACATGCCCAAATTCGTAAGCAAAGGTAAATATGTTAGCAATTGAAGATTTGTGTGTGTGTTTTTATTCATCTTAATGGTAAGTCATTTATGTTTGTTTCAAAAGTAGTTATTTTTCCCTCCAATGGAAGTAATTTATGTGAGTGTCTTTTTCCCTATTTATAAGAAATCTGCGGTTAGAATTAATCATAACTAAAAGATATGCTAATTAAATGCTTGAAGTATCTTGAAAGCTTTTTGAAAAATTCTCTAATTCCAATCATTATATTGGGCTTTCGTCAATAATGGTTTATTATTCTTACAGTGGAACTGGTGCATTGGCCATCTTTCTACAAAAATCATTTAAGCTTGATATCACGACATCAGATTATGATGACAAATCTATCGAGGAGAATATATCCCATAACTTCCAATCCAATGGAATTTCACCTGCCCATCCTCATTTAAACCGTTGGTTCTTTTTCATTCTTTTGATTTCTATTCAACTCTGCTTAATGTTCATTGGGTATGTTGGTACGTTTTTTTTCTTGTGATTTAAGTTTTTAGAATGCCAGATACATGGGGAGATGCCTTTCCGATTCCCGACCCACACTGGGACCTTATAATTGCAAGCGATATCTTGCTGTGTAAGTATTTGATTAGATGTGCCATGAGCATTACTTGTACAGTGTGTAAACTATTAAATCATCTTAAAGGCCAAATATAAACATATAGTCCAAACATACAAGGTCTTCTTCCCCTTATCAGGCTGACCTTCTACAACCTTTTAGAATGGAATGCCAAACCTTACTGGTATTTTACCCCATCATGCTCAAACAAGCCACACGTTCCAACTAAGACTCTACAATGTGTACGGGCTTAAAAAAATTATCTGCTTCTAATACTCCTTTAGGCCAAATTTACTAGCCAAATGTAAAGAAAGAAACTAAGTTAACCAACATATAAAGTCTTGGGCTACCCCACGTAGTTGAACTTCTAGGATGGAACTGCAAACTCTAGTGTAAGCCACATAAACTGAAGTGGACTTTCTTACATTTTTTGGTGATGAATGCCCTCACATTTTTCTTAATGTTGACGAACATTATAGGAACTTTCATGTGCCAATATTTTATGTATACGTTTTGATTCCCTTTTCCATTCTACACTCCATGCAGATGTTAAAGAGTATCCAAATTTGATCAAAACACTGTCATATCTGCTGAAAACGTATACACCTGAAGTTATTGACTCTGATTCTCCAGGTTATGACCAACATGGTATGCAGTGTTTCCCTGTCTCTTCCTCAGCCACTTTCTTTTTATACACGGAAAATGGCTGTTCGATATTGTTTTTTTTTTTGCTTGTGCGTGCTCTTTTGAACTACATCCTACTAAACACAGATTGATTTTGGGATCTCAGATGTGTTGCATGCATTGCCCAGACCAGTATTTTTAATGAGCTGGAGGCGGAGAATAGGGAAAGAGGACGAGTCACTGTTTTTTGTTGGTTGTGAAAAAGCTGGTCTTGAAGTAAAGCATTTGGGATCCTGTGTTTATTGCATTAATCTTACACCTAAATAAGAAACAGTGGATCAATTGGGATGATCTCTTGCTAGTGTCACTCCACTTGCAGCTTTAGACAAATGAGTTGAGTTTTGTTTTGTACCCAACAGGCTCAAGTGATCTGTCAATCCTTGGGTGTTCCTGCATAAAACAAAACAAAAAGAATGGTTTTGTTTTGTTTCCAAGATTTAATGGTGCCAATTCACCCTTGTGATGAGTGGTGTGACTGTAACTCTGTAAGGGAACATCTGCATCCACATGGTCATGCAAGGAATATGGAAACGTACATTTTTTACTGATCCATGATTTACCATGAATCGTAATGACAGAGTACAGAAAGAAGTGTTATTCATAACCAAAATCATGATAGATACTACTAGGGGTGGACTTGGGCCGGGCGGCCCGGCCCGGAACCGGCCCGGCCCTGTTACTGTTTTGCCCGGCCCGGGGCCCGGTGGGTCCACCGGTTCGGTTCGACCCGGCCTGGCTGCTGGGCGGTCCGGGCTCGGGCCCAGTTTTTGGTGAACAGGCCCGGCTTGTTCGGGCCAGTTTTTCATTTTTTTTTTGAATTTTTTTTAAGTTTTGGGTTGGATTAGGTATTTTGGGCCATTTGGGGTAGTTCGGGGTTGAGGTGGTTTGGGGTAGTTTGGGGTAGTTTGGGGTTGAGGGTTAAATAGAAGAGCCAAAAAAAAAAATAGAACCGGTTAGGCCCGGCCCGACCCGGTTTGGCCCGGAACCGGAACCGCCGGTGGGCCCAACTTTCTTGGCCCGAGGCCCGGCCGGGCCCGAACCGGCCCGAGTCCAGGTCTAGATACTATGTACTCCCGTCCCTAAATGTTTGTCACTCTTTCCCGAAATGGAAGTCCCTAAAAGTTTGTCCAGTTTCCATTTTAGGAAATAAAATGCCTTGAAATACCAATAATACCCTCCCTTCCCTAATTGTATTTCGGTTCATCTACCCCTTTTATTTTCGTCCAACCCGTTCTCTTCCCCATTTATCACCCACCGCTTCTACACTCTTCTCCTTCCCACTCTACCTTATCTCCTTCCCTCCCCTACCGGTAGGGGTGGACTCGGGCCGGGCGGCCCGGCCCGGTTACTGTTTGGCCCGGCCCGGCCGGCTGCTGGGCGGTCCGGGCTCGGGCCCAGTTTTTGGTGAACCGGCCCGGCCGGTTTGGTCCCGGTTTTTAATTTTTTTTTTAAGTTTTAGGTTGGATTAGGTATTTTGGGCCATTTGAGGTGGTTTGGGGTAGTTTGGGGTTGAGGGGGAGGGGTTAGGGGTTAAATAGAAGAGCCAAAAAAAATTAGAACCGGTTAGGCCTGGCCCGGCCCGGTTTGGCCCGGAACCGGAACCGGAACTGCCCACCGGCGGTTCGGGCTCGGGCCCAACTTTCTTGGCCCGAGGCCCGGCCGGGCCCAGGCCCGAACCGGCCCGAGTCCAGGTCTAGATACTACGTACTCCTTCCGTCCCTAAATGTTTGTCACTCTTTCCCGAAATGGAAGTCCCTAAAAGTTTGTCCAGTTTCCATTTTAGGAAATAAAATGCCTTGAAATACCAATAATACCCTCCCTTCCCTAATTGTATTTCGGTTCACCTACACCTTTTATTTTCGTCCAACCCGTTCTCTTCCCCATTTATCACCCACCGCTTCTATACTCTTCTCCTTCCCACTCTACCTTATCTCCTTCCCTCCCCTACCGGTAGGGGTGGACTCGGGCCGGGCGGCCCGGCCCGGAACCGGCCCGGCCTGGCCCGGAACCGGCCCGGCCTTGAACCGGCCCGGCCCGGCCCGGTTGCTGGGCGGTCCGGGCTCGGGCGTTCGGGCTTGGTTTTTTTTAATTATTTTTAAGTTTTGGGTTGAATTAGGTATTTTGGACCATTTGAGGTGGTTTGGGGTTGAGGGGGAGGGGCTGGGGGTTAAATAGAAGAGCCAAAAAAAAAAAATAGAACCGGTTAGGCCCGGCCCGGCCCGGTTTCGCCCGGAACCGGAACCAGAACCACCCACTGGCGGTTCGGGCTCGGGCCCAACTTTCTTGGCCCGAGGCCCGTCCGGGCCCGAACCGGCCTGAGTCCAGGTCTACCTACCGGCCGTTCTGTAACTCATACCCTTCTTCTCGTTCGTTGCTACCCCCTACTTCTTCTCTTTCGCTGTTACCCCTACTTCTCCTTCGCTGTTACCCCTACCTACCTCATATCTCCATCGCAACCAGCCCAACTCCGAGCCCATATCTAAACATGGAAAGGAAGCGTAATCCCACACTTGTCCGTCCGATTCCGATATCGAATGTTCTGACCCAACCGCATGCAACATCAATTCCAGATATCCAGGAGCAAACCTATTTGAATAATGATTTGGTTTGTTATCCACCATCACCAGAAAAACAATCCAGACCAGAGCCGTTTCATATGCTTGTACATATTCACTTCGGCTTTTCCAGTGAGGATGAAAACGACCCAACTTGGGCTCGGAGAAAGATCTATGGAGACATGGTGTTGTCTGACAATTCTGCTTGGTTGGATGGCGTGGATGAGGAGGACGAGGTATGCTCGGCAATGGCGGAGGGAACAAAGGAGCATGCACAGGCCGTCGCTGTTAAGGGTAGTACCATCTACTTTTACCTCTATCCTTAATTTGTTCTGTGTGTTTGCATATTTGGGGCTTGTGTGGTCTGTTAAAGGGTGATGTTGGAAATTGAGTTACAGTTTCGCTTGTATGGGGTCTAGGGTATTTTTTGTGTTGGTTGAAACTTATGATGAATTGGGATTAGAGTTCTACTTGAATGTATGAATATGTTGCTTATGATTGCAACTGTAATTGTAGCAGCCAAGTTGATAAACTGGGCGAGGCTCGATTACAAGTGCAACTGACTTGGTGGATCTGTGTGTAAACATTGTTACTACAAACCTTTGATGTATCATTTCATCATGCATCCGGGCTTACAAAAAGCTGTCCTTATTCACCTTTACAGTACATTTATAATGTGTACTGTATGTGTGTACATGTACATACATAAATATTGTTACACACAAAGTGTGTTTATATACACCAAAAAAGGAAAAAAGTGTGAATGCAAAACATCTTTGTAGCAATTCATTTTTGAAGAATGATCTACTCTTCAATTATGAATTGTTCTTCACTTTGGTCTGCATTGCTGGTAGTTGCCATATGTCCAATTAGATATGCCCTAGCTGATTGATATAGCTCTGGACTAATCTGGATATTTTTGGGTAACAACCCCTGCCTTTCCAAAGAGTTCTTCCCTAGCTATGTGCTGCAACTTGAAATTGTTGTCTCCATTGTTTTCCAGTACACTTTGTATTACACCTTGATAGCTTAGAAATACCTTGTTCAAAGTGCTTGGTGTCAGCTCATTGAAAGCTACTTGAACTGCATCAATTAATTGTGTTATAGTCTTTGGTGCCTTTTGATCTTTTATTGAATCAATAGCCCTAAAGAACCCCAAGTCCAGCACATTAAGGTCTGGGCTATTTGCGGGCTGACACATGAGTTGGATGTTCCAACCATTCTCTGTCCCACACTTAATAAAATCTGGGTCATCAACTAGAATATGTGGTCTAGCATTGTCTTGTTGAATAATGATATTTCTGTTTTCAGAATCTAGCCATTTCTCCTTAATTGCTGGCATAATTGTATTCAAAAGCATATCTTTAATAACTGGTCTTTCACACTTGTGATTGGATTAGTGACTACAGTCCCAGCAGGCCTGTTTTTGCTTGATCTCTTAGCTGGTTCTTCATAAGTGAAGGGGAATATACCTACTTTACCATCCCATTCCACTTCCCCATTCTGACCTAGCCTTGGCCTACCTACCACAGCCAAAAACATGATTTTTGGGATGAACTTTTTGAACTGCACTGATCTATATGGATCATTTTCATTAGGCATCATGTAAAATCTTGTTGTTTCTTTAGAGAGGTAAAACCACCTCTCATCAATGTGTAAGTAGTCATGAAAGTCATGAAAAGTAGGGCTGCCAAGAAGGGAAGCTGGGTTTATAAGACTTAAACAATACTCTAACCTTTTTAGTGTCCCATCTTCACTCAATAAAGGTTTCATAGCACTTGAATGTCTTTTAATTTCATTTCTTTTGAACCATCTATGGACTGGATTTGGAAACTTCCATTGCAAAGCCCAGAGCACGCAAATTTTTCCTTTGATGCAATGGTATTTCAGTCAGCTTTTCAGCATTTAACACAACCCTCTTTCTGCCTACATTTCCCTTGTAATTACCTTGCAAATTTACAGCATGACCACCAAGCATTTGCTCTTTAGCTGTATGCCACATCCTGATTACAGTGCGGGATGAAATGTTGAACTCATTTGCTGTTCTTATTATTACACCCCTCTGAAGTTTCCCACCACAAGAACTACCTAACAATTTTTGAATTAAAATTTTCCTATCATCACTTGTTAGTTTTTGTCTGATACCTGTGTGCGCTTCTGCTGCAGGAATTGTAGGAACTGGAGCTGCTTGTTCTTCTGAGATGTTAGGAGGTGAAGACAGTCCGAGATCCACCACATCCAAGGGCACTGCAGGACTGCTTTCCAGTGAAGGGAGTGGTTCAGCTTGAGTAGTGTTCATTTTAGGGTTGTAGTGAATGCTTAGTTGTTGTGTAATGAATGAGTGGTATTTATAGTTGTAGGGATTGGCAGATGTAAAAGGATGTTAAGTTAAGATTTGGAGGGAGTTTGAAATTTTTGGGATCCAAATTGTCTTGGTAGACAATTTGTAAGTGTACTGTAGAACCATCTTGTCATTAGTACTTTGATTTATTTTGACCACTCCTTTTGCAGGCTTTATTCGGCCCCATCCCTTCCCCCTTTTTTTTACCGTATTACATTTTGGGGTAATACCCTCACAAAGGTGTGGGTCTTTTTGGAAAGTCAAACACATTTATTCCCTTCTCTTAATTAGCCCAAAGTCAAATAGCGACAAACATTTAGGGACAGAGGGAGTATAATTTAGTTCATTGTTGGTATTTAATTTATTGTCAAGGATTTTAAACGTTTGCTACTTATAAAAAGTCAGTCATAAATAGTTCTAAAAACTAACAAGAATTTAAAAGTCATTAAAACACTTTACTTTGTGGAGTATCATTTTAAAAGTCATTAGCCTTTCTTTGAATGAAGGAAGAAGTATGAAAGAAAAAAGAGAAGATAACTGGTAGAAACAAGTGATATTTAAGTTATTTTAAGAAAAGTATAAAAACTAGAGGAGTTGGAGCAAAAATGAATAGTTAGGGTAAGGACACAATCATCTTCACGTAGAGTACAAAATGAAGGGTAAATAAGCCATTTTCAATTTGTCTTCAAAAGTTTTACTCATGCATGGAGATATCACATTCTTTTTCTTCATTTAAAATATTTCTGGTAATACAAATGCTCTCCTCTCATCTGTAATGTATAAAATATTTCTGTAATGTAATCACTGTGATCCCTTGCTTTCCATCCGATTGCGCAAATTTCAATATAATTGAATGTGCTATAAAAAAGCATATATGTAAATCAATATGAATTATCTAGTAATTAATGTCACACGATTCAACTTTTGTATCAATGTTATTTTTCTTTTCTTTTTATACATTCTATCAATATTTTATGGGCAAAAACAAGTGAGACCCTAAAGTTTTGGATTCAAAGCCTTTTATCTAAAAAATTTCATTTCGAGTGGACATACTAATTTATACATAGGAGTCCCGTTCTTGTCCAGCCGGCCTGACGGGAACCGCCCTCCGACCGAGGGCATTTCGGGCACTTCCTGATTTAATTTTTTAATAAAATTTTTTGAGCATGTTCTTCATGAAATCTAGTTTATCCATACCGAATTTCAGCTCAAAATTCGATCGGGAAGACATTCATATAATTTTTTGAAGTTGACTGCGTCACAGCGTCAAAATAACATATAAAAACGCAGTCAACTTCAAAAAATTATTTGAATGCCTTCCCGATCGAATTTTGAGCTGACATTCATTATGGATAAACTAGACTTGATGAAGAACATGCGCAAAAAATTTCATCAAAAAATTCGATCGGGAAGTGCCCGAAATGCCCTCGGCTGAACGGTGGTCCCCGTCAGGCCGGTTGGACATGACGTTTTCTCTTATACATAGTAGTTATAAGTTTTATCTTACTTCTCTGGGTGGATCCAATGTGGATACTAAAAATAGTTCAATTTCTCCCCAGCTCTCCTTCCAACTCCCGAGATCTATTTAAAGATTCTAAGGGCCTGTTTGGTAAGAGCTGCATTAGCTGGAATGACTGAAAAGCATGAAAAGGTTGAATTTGCTGAACTAAAAGTGTTTGGTAATACATTGGCTGAAATGGCCGATTGAGTGTAAATTACTATAAAGGGTATTAACTTATTTGTGTTAAATATATAGATGTTAGTATTACTGATAAACTACTTTTGCTTGATTAGGTAATTATAAGTCTACTTTAATAATTGATTACTTTGTAAATTTCATTCTTACTCTTACATCGAATTTTTTATTGTATTATACATGTGATAGATTAGAAATAATAGGACCTCTTTGAACATTTTCCCCTTTTAAGATAGATGATTATAGTATATAGAATGACACTTTTTAAATCTATTTACAATATTTTCATTTGTTTTGTTGGAGCAAATAAAAGTATCGAAATTGTCATAAGAATTAGCAAAAACCAATTCTTAATCATGCAAATAGCGGTTCCCTACTTCCTGTTAGCAAAAAACATCTCTAAAAATCATTTGTGAGTATGAAATAAAAGTATGCACAACACGGAAGAGGTTCTCGTTGTCAATATGGATTTGAGCTATGGCCAAGCAACAAAGATGCTAAAATAAAAGGGTAAACAAGTATTTTAGGTTGGCAGCAGATGCATAAATAAATTCCATCTCAAAAAGTAACTATATGGTTACTTTTTTGTCTGATAAGAAAAAGTAACCCAAACAGCCCATTTGCCATATGGTTGGCAATTTTTTTTTTTTTTTTTTTTTTTTGTATTTTAAGGCTTTTCAGCCCATTTATAGGACTCCAAACGAAATGAGCAAAGAGTAAAACCTTACAAAATTTAATTGATATAAACTTTGGAGTACTTTTTTTTCATCAACTCCAACGAATCTTATTAACTCAAAAGGTCATTAGCCATGTGGCTAACAAAGTAACAATACAATGTGGAATTACATCAGAATTAATATCTTGATCTGAGACATTAATTTGTGCTCTTGCAAGCGCATGAGCAACACGATTCTCAGACGGTTTACAAAAAGAGACAATAAAATTACTTTCTGTTTCAAGAACACTTTTAATATCTTTGTTGGGTTAATGGCCCAAGCAGAGGGTCGGCCCATTACCCCTAGACGAGACGAACGTCTTGGCCCAATAAGAGAGAGGAGCTTTAGATGAACGTCCGGTCCATTGATGGGGGCGCAGCCTGGTACCGGAGCCCAAGTATGAGGCGACGAACGTCGTCACCCAAGATCCCCGCACAGGAGGGGTCCATGGCAAGTAATACAACAAATTCTACCAAGGGCCAGAATACGGACGACCTGCAACCCTTTGCAGTATCATCAAGAGCAGTCCTCAGATCCAACTGGACGTCTGTCACCACGAAATAGGCGGGAAATCCAGATTCTGACGGGAAGCGCATTTAATGGCGAAGATTTGGTGGTTGAGGCATCAACCACTCACGGTCTTACACATCACCATAGCCAATTGCCAATTGATGGTGTAAATAGCAGCATTTATTTCATTGTAAATGGTTGTCAACTTATCAGCCTTAGCACACTAGCTTATACTTAGCTCTTACTCGCAGCTCTTCTACTGTTTTGTAAGACGAACGGTCGACGAGCCTTAGCAAGCGTATTGTATTGGGGAGTTATTAACTGATTAATAATATCTAATCTCTTACTTGCTACTTATTGTCTCTTAATCCATCTTATTTGCTTGTTGGGCTAGTTATTCATACACACATACATCACTCCACTCGAAATCCTTGGGCTTACGTGTTGGACTCAAGAGTTGAAGGAATAAACTTCAACAGTATTCAATAATCAATTGTAAATAGGAAGACCCGCCCCTTTGTGTATCCCCTGTACCACCGTCATAGCATTTGTCTCAAATTCTACTCTGATTCATCCTTCCTCAATTGCACCCGCTATGGCCTCCTTCAGTCCTGTTGCTTCCGTCTCGGCCGCTGACCAATTAGCCTCACGCAAGCCCCTGTGCTATGATAAAATTTGCATTTTCTTAACGAGCCACCCATCCTCACGCTCGGATCCTTCCAGGTTGGTTAACCGCCCCATCAACATTAATTTTAATATATCCTCTTGCCGATTTCTTCCACTTCTCTTCCTCCTTATTTCCTTGCCTCTTGTAAATAACCTCACTTGCTTGAACCAATGTTCTAAAAGGCTCTAGTCGGGCGCTAGCCCAGCGCCTAGCGCTTAGGCGGCTAGGCGGACGCCTAGTCGGAGACACAAAAATTGCATTTTTATCTATATTTTTGCATAAATATGATAAGTAATATTGTATTTTTGTGTGTATAAAATACATATACACATATACATTAACAAACATGAAAGATAGAATTCTCACATTTAATCATACGAAGTATATGATAACCAATCACTTAACTTCAATATGGTATAAATATAAATAATGATAGAATTTAGGTATATATACAAACATATATAGTTTTTTTTCATCATTTGCAATGGAGCCAAAGGTTTATTATTTTTTGGCTTGAGAATATGATGAAATAAAGCAAAATGACTGACTAAACTGTCTGCGCTTCTTTGTTATGAAGTAACAGTCAGCCCATGCAATTTTGGACGCGATTTTCATTATGGGTCGTCCGGAAACAGTCTCTCTGTGCTTCAGTACATAGAGGTAAGACTGCGTACATCCGACCCCCCCTTACCCCACCGTAGGCACTGGGGTAAATGAAAATGAATGATGAAATGAATACAAACATATATAGTTTTATCTTAATTTACAACTCCATTTCTTTATATTCATGGCTAAAGTTAAAGTACGTTTATCGCTTAGAAAATTAAAATTAAAAAGTAAAGTAGTGTTTGGCGAATCTAGGCGGCCAATTAGGCGCTCTAGGCGGGAAACTAGGCATCATAGGCGGCCGAGTAATTCACCTAGACGGCAAACCAATTAGTCGGAGCGCCTAGACGCAAATCGGGGTGCCGACCACCGCCTAACGCCTAGGTGGAGACTAGTCGGACGCCTAGAACTATTTTTAGAACAGAGGCTTGAACTTCTTTCCAGCTCGCTAGCATACCTGCCTGCCGCTCCATTAATCACGTTTGTGGCATCAATGCATCATGTTTTTGATCACTTTATTAATATTTTAGATGACAAGTCACTAAATAAGTCCCTTTTTCTTAAAATTTTAAAGTGAGTCATTTTTTTGTCTTTTGAATTTAATTTGGTAATTTTCATGAAAAAAGACTTTCATTATTTATATTTTGATCACATTTTATTTATTGAGTTACCAGAATTATATTGTCAACAATAATGTTAAAGTTCTTGATGTGCATTTTTAAAGGGGTGTTTGGATGTAGTTATAACTGTTTCTGATCCTTCGGGAGGAACAGAAATGTTGAGTTTTTGAGTTTAAACCAGTGCTAAATTCGTCATTGAAAAGTCATAACAATGGTTAATCGATTTTTCCAGCCTTATAGGCTGGAGAGTGTGTGACGAGCTGCAAGTTTTTATGCGGAGCAAAATTTTCTAATTGTTCCGCAAAATAGTTTTCTTCAGTGACTATGTTCTCCCATGCTCTACGTTTCTCTTCTTTCCCGAACTTCAGCATCCTTGATTTCTCCCGGAGATCAACTTCAGTTTCGGAAAGAAATGGCAGCTTCAGAATCCTCTGCATTCCGGAGCATTCAGATTCTGCTTTGCACTCGAAAAAAGCTAAGCTAGATTCATCTACCAACCAAAGGTACATATTTTGTTTATATCAAACTTGTAAGTGTACCATGTGGTTTGTCTTTAACTGTGCTTTACATTTTTTCATGGAATTTATTTCTTCTGGAAGTTCATAAACGTTTGTGAAGCTAAGCTTTGGTTTTATTTGGAAATATTAATGATGCAGGGAGAAAGAGGAAGCCAATGTGGTTTTGGTGGAAAAGTATGGGAATGGAACCTTAAGGAGGTAATATATAGTTTACCTCATCCTACATCTTTCTATTGGGCAGAATTTTGAAGTATGCTTACAGAATGATATGCAGATAATTATGCTTTCTATTGGTTCATTTTCCATTTTGTTGTTGTAAGCATTGGTACTTGTTAGTTTGGCATGCTAAAACGGAAATTAAACATTGTGGTAAAAATATCTGGCTAGTCCTGATAATTGCAGATCTTAGACATTGTTGTAGAATTACTCTCCTTGGGTTGCCCTAGGTTTTTTCCAACCTAATTTTACTTTGAGTCTATCTAACCTGATTCATCTTTGACTAGAAGCTCGACCCCAGTTTCCAGCCTAGCGATCAAATAGTGCTTTTTAAACAATGAATTTAAAAGTAATTGCTTGGCTTTGTGCATATGAGCACATGTGTGCACGGATTATTTAGGCATTAATAAACTTTCTGGAATGTGATTTAATTACCTAGGTATGTATTGGATGAAGGCTTGCACTTAAAATTCATTCTTGAGGAACATGCTCTTGAAGATTTGGATATCGCTGACTTGAAGTTACCTTGGCTTCCAAAGGTCATCAAAGATTTTGTTTTACCTGCAGGCTATCCAGGTGATAAAAATTAGAAAATCAATTCACTTTTTTCTTCTCTACATTATTTGTGTCATGGACCTCAGAGAAATACTTGGTGATTGCTGATTTAAATTATTATCATGATAATGCGAGTGTACAAGCACCCTTTTATCAACAACCATGCGAACATTCTCACTAGTTTTCTGAGATCCCATAATACCCTACAATGCAGATACAGTTTCAAACGATTACTTGGAATACATGTTGCTAATGTTCCCCACAAATGTTACGGGGTGGATCTGTCACACATTGGTCACCTCAAGTCTCTTAAAGGCAGGTCAAAATTGTTGATGTTTTTAATTCCATGTTGGGTATGTGAACTAGGATATGTTAAAGCTTTTAATCACTCCTTTCCGCTGTGCTTTTAAACATTGTATACAGCACTTGTACTGGGGTTCTAATTTGATATTTTTATAGGTATCACTTCCTTATTCCTGATAGAACAAAATTAGTAGATAGTTTTATAAACTAATAATCATCTTATAAATGGGAGTTATTTTAAGTTGGAAAAAGGATTGAATAGATCGTTCTACTATTTCCAATTTATCACTTAAGTCCCTATACTAAAAAAGTATCATATAAGTACACTTACTTTAAGAAACCAATCAATATAGTCTTCTAACTGGTTTTTGACCTATAATAGCAGGTTATTATATTAAAAACTTTAAATATTTTTTAAAATTTGAAGAAATATAAACAAAAAGTGTGGACAATTTAAGAATGCCAAAGTCTATATTTTTTCATTTTTAGAATTATTTGTATATTCTACAAATTTTAAAAGTTATTACATTTTAATTTTATATTTTTACACTTTCACTTTATTTTTTCATTTTTCTATTTTATTATTTTTTACATCATAAAATTATGTATCTGATTTTGAAATTATACTATTTTTATATTATCATTACATTATTTTCAAATTTGTATGAATTTTTATAAGATTAATCAATTGTTTTAATTGTTTTTAAATAATCTGCTATAGCAAGTTAAAATGACATAATTTGCTGTGTTTTTAGAGTAAACATACTTATAGGATACTTTTTCAGCCGACCCCAAAATCTTTTGGGATTAAGGCTTGGTTGTTGTTGTTGTTGGACTTCAGAGATGGATTGGAAATAGTAGAAGGATCTATTTACCCTTTTCTATTTTAAGTTTCCATCAATGTGTAGAGTCAAAAGATAAAAGTCATCATATTTTCAATACTCGAAATGTTGTACTTTTATTGCATGTGATAACCTTTCAGCTAAATGAGTGGCAATACTCAACATGCAGGCTATTGGGGTGGGATCATTCTCAGGAACTGCTGCCGCTGCTTCTGCTGCTGCCTCTGCTGCTGCCATCAGGTTCCTTTTACTATTCTGCATATCTTGTTATTATTTGGAGTGTAAGCTTTGGTCTGAACAAATAAATTATTGTTCCTTATATGTTAATATATGATGTATCATTACTCATATTAAGGCATGGATCCATGTAAAGCTAAAAGCTACAGAGGCGTGCTTGGAACTTTACTGCTTGTATCAAAGTTATCCATTCTTTTTTACAGATGGGTGTCAAAGGATGGCATTGGTGCCCTTGGACGTTTATTCATTGGTCTGGCAGCTTTCAAAACATATGAAAGAAATTATCGTCATTGTTTATATCACTTTAGAGGTTTAGTCAGAAACTGATATCGTGCAAGTTCCAGGTGGGAAGTTCGGAAGTCTTTTTGATGATGATCCTAAGCAGTGGCGAATGTATGCAGATTTTATAGGCAGTGCAGGAAGGTATTGAAAATGATTTAGGTACTTGACTCATCTTTTTGTAAATGGCTTAATTGATATGAATTTTGTATGTAGCATCTTTGATCTCAGTACTGCACTATACCCCGCTTATTTCCTACCATTGGCTTCATTTGGAAATCTTGCTAAGGTATTAGTGATTAATTCAGTATCACTTTTACAATTTAACATATTCCAACAATTTAACAGATCCCCTCCCCTCCCGTTTTTTTTTTGGCTGAAAGACCGGTTTGGCTGTAATCCTGTTTGTGTTGCATAGGGTGGGGGTGAGGGGAACCCCTTTACTTAGAGAGCTCTTCTGAAAATTGTTATCCCCTCCCCAAAAAAGGAGAAAATCACGCACACACAAACACCTTTCGCCCATGTACGCATATCTGCCAGAGTAAGGACTAAGGAGTACATTATCCTTCAAGGACATTTATAGTTGTCATTATCATTGTTGCCTCATTCTGGACATCAAATCATTACTCATGTCACTTAAACTCTCAAAGTCAATACATCTCACACAGCTTCATTAAAACTTGAATCTTTTGCCCAAAGTTTGATAGTTTTCAAAAAGATGGTTGATCAGGATGCCACCTGGCTCATCATAAAGAAAAACAAAACGGTAGAGTCAGACTTTCATTTTTATTTTTGTTAGGTGGTGCCCTTTCATATCTGCTTACCCCAAATTCTTTTGGGATAAAGGCTTGGATGTCATTGTTGCTGTTGTTGTTGCCCTTCTCATATGTGTTTATTTGTGTGCATACTTTTGTCAAAGGAGGGAAGGGAATAAACATGACTAGTTATACTTACCAATCTACAGTAGACTTCTCAGTATACAAATTTAAAACCTTCTTAATGGTAAATCTAGTAGTTTGACAGGTCACATGACTGGTAATTTGACAGGCCGTTGCACGAGGGTTGAGAGACCCCTCCTTCCGAGTGATACAAAACCATTTTGCTGTGTGTGAAAATTTGGGAGATGTAGCAGCAAAGGTGTGTAGTACACATGAAAGTTATGAGCAATATCACCTCGTATTTCATTATTTAAGCATCCTTATGTTAATGATCAGTTTGATCAATCATGACAGGACGAAGTGTGGGAAGTAGCTGCTGAGCTTGTTGGCCTTGGTATTGGCATATATGCCCTGGTATGTCATTAATTCGTTAATATGTGCTTACTCTAGGACACTCTAAACTAATTTTGTTATTAAATGATTTTTTGAAGCGATGAAGGAGGTAAGTTCTTTAGTTTGTATTCCTGCAGGATACACCAGGCATCTCAACATCATATCTCATGTTGTCATTACTATGGTTGAGTACACGGTCTTTGCATCTTTGGTTTCGTTACTTAACTCTTTCAGTTCTGCAATTTGACACCGTAAGATGTTAACTATAAAAGCGATGTTCATTACAGTGTTCTGAAGTATGTTCTTCCTATTCTGGTTTCTGTACCACCCCATCTTTTCCATTCTGTGCTGTATCATGTAATACGCTTCTTGAATTATGCCATGAGTCACAACTCTGTGTTGTAAACAATGAATGCTAATCAAATTCACAGTTTTCTGGACTTTCATCCACACAGGTTCAATAACTTGAATTTGGCTTCTTTGCAGATAAATCTCAAACGTGCCCGTATACTAGTTAATTCCCATCTTTTGCAATGTACAGTTCCAGGTAATGACATTCACATGTACTTAATTTGGCTTTATATGTAGTGGCATTGATTGAATTTATTTTCCAGGAATCACGGACTGTAACAGGAAAGAGAATATTCTGTTGTGGGAAAGGTTCTCAAATCCCCATATTATTTTTGGTGTTCATATGGAAGATATGGTTGGTGGGGAGAGAAATGGCTCTATGGTAAAGCCACTTTTTTCTTGACTGTTACTTGGCATAGCTATAGCTTATAGTTATAGTCACTTTAGCTAATATAGTGAACATACCAGTTATGTTATGTCCAGTACAAAATACGTATTATAGAATATGAAGGCTCCTAATTTTGACAAATGATGTGCTTCAGTTTTAATCTGCTCTCTGCAACAGATTAAAAGGCTGATTAAGCTGTATCAGAAAGAAAAATATTTCCTGGTAGTGAACCAACAGCAATCAGATGACTTTGAGGTCTTCATCTCTTTCAAGGTGTTTACTCAGACAAAGCAATTGAATCGAGAAAATCAGCTTATTATCATTTTCGTTGTAAATATCTTTCCGTCGTTATTTTATCATGCAGGATGGCGCTACAAGTTTGTCTGTATTACGCAGTGTGTGGCAGACTTACTGGCTCTACCATAACAGGGACTGGTCAGGTGTTGTCGAAGATCAACTACAGAAAAGCTTAACAGAATTAAATAATAGGTTTCCAGATTTCGTGCAACAGTTGGAAAATGTTGGATGGGATTTGAATAATTTGTGTCTAAAGATCCCCAGGGAAATTTCAATTCAGGAAGTTGTGGCGAAGTGACAATGCTATGGTCAGAATACTTGGTCCTTCCGGCCTCCTTTTCTCTTGATACGGAGTATTTTGTTACGCCAGTATGAATGCAGTAGAAAGCAAATTTTGTGTAATGGTTATGCATCAAACAAAGCTGCTTCTGCTTCTATTATCATTTGATGGGTATGCTTTTTTTTAATCAAAGACATACTAAAACAGTGGCATACCCCAAAAATAAGCCAATCCTAAAAAACCAAGTCTCAAAGCAAAATTATCTTGCCGTAAGCAACTAAGCAAGAGTTCCGAGGATCGTAAAAGGTCGCAGCTTGAGCCTTGAGAAGGTCCTCGTGGATATGCATTTAGTTATTATAACAGCTTCAACCCAATAACTTTTACTATTCGGGACTGAAGTTATAATTTATAACTTCAGTCCCGATTAGTAAAAGTTATTCGGCTGAAGTATTTGAATTTTTTGGAAGGAAAAAGGGAAAAGGGGCAAATAAGCCCTCGAACTAACCAAAAAAGTGCAAATAAGCCCTTATATAGGAGACTTTGTGCGGCCGTCGTCATTTGGGGAGGTTCTCGGTGGAATTGTTTTATGAAATTTTGTGAGCATCTTCTTCATTAAGTCTAGTTTAGTCATACCAAATTTCAGCTAAAAATTCAATCGGGAAGGCAGTCAAATGAATTTTAGAAGATAACAACGCAGTTAAACAACGCAGTATATTTCAGAAAATCATTTGACATCCTTCCCGGATGAATTTTTAGCTGAAATTTGGTATGGCTAAACTAGACTTAATCAATAAGATGCTCAAAAAATTTCATTAAAAAATTCCACTGGAAACCTCCCCAAATGGCGACGGCCGGACAGAACCTCCGATATAAGGGCTTATTTGCACTTTTTTGGTTAGTTCGAGGGCTTATTTGCCCCTTTTCCCAAGGAAAAACGTTTGGTAACATTAATTTCAGTCATACTCAAACGTTTGGTAAAATTAATTTCATTTTAAGCATAATGTTTTTTTCAAATACAAATTTGATTTTTTCAATTTAATTGTACTGTTTGTGTGCTTTTAAAATGTCTAATTGAAAGTATTAATACTAATTCAAAAAGTATTTCATGAATAATTTAATTTTATCACGAGTCAATCATGAGAAGAAATATGTAAAAGTTGCTTTTCCACTGAAAATGTAGAATGGGCCGACAAGTGCTACCAAATGTGGCCTTCATCTAGTGCCACTCTTTAGAAAGATTTGGCTTTTGAGAAGAAAAATGTGTCATTCTACTTTGTAGTTCGTAGTAACTTCGTTCCAAAATTATCTTCATTTTTTCCCTTTTGGTTCGTCTCATATTTATCCCATCTTTCCCCTTTGGGAAAGCTATCAAATAAGCCCCCTGGCTTTTCAAAAAAATCAATTAAGCCCCTTTACTAAAACTTCACTCAATTAAACCCTCAAACCCAATAAAATATGGCAAACCCTCTTTTTAACCGGTAACTGATAAGTTACCCGGTTATTATGTACACGTGGCTATACATCTCTTTTTTTCAATTTTTCCATTTTTATTTCTTTTTCCCTTTATTTTTTTTTCCTTTTTCCTTTCCCTTCATCTTCTTTCTCGTTCAACAACTTGTTCCAGGCCTCTAAAAAATTTCAGCCTTCATCCCTTCCTCCATCTTCTTCTAATCTTCCACCCACCCTTTCTTCCTTCCCTTTCTTCTTTCTTCTATCACCAGTAGGTCATCGTCGGCAACGCAGTGTCCGAGCGAAACTTAGGACGCCGGAGATGCTCAAGTACCCATTATGCACCGGTCCGGTCATCCCCTTTCCGCGAGTCCATGCCTTGGGAGTCGGAAAACGTTCTCCTTTAAAGCTTCGTTAAGGAATACAAAGTCTTAGTCGAAGTTGGAGTCGGTGCTCCGTGAGAGCTCCGGCCAAATTGATTCCATATCCGGCTGCAGAAAAGAGGGTCGGGGAGGAGGACGAAGTGAGTCGTGGAAGTGCGAGCAGAGAACTAGTAGGGGGAAGCAGAGAGTGGGGAAGGAAAGAAGGAAAGAAATAAAGAAAGAGGGGAGAAGTTACAGGTGCTAGCGCAGGGAAGAAGGGGGAAGAAGGGGAGCAGGAAAGAAAGTCTAAGGAAGAGGAAAGAAAAAGAAAAAATTGACACGTCACACCACATACGCAATTTTACCGGGAATACCTGCTAAAAAGAGATTTTGCAAATTTTTAATGAGTTTGAGGGTCTGATTGAGCTGACTTTTAGTTGGAGGGCTTAAATGATTTTTTTGAAAAGGTCGGGGGCTTATTTGATAGTTTTCCCTTCCCCTTTTGATAAAGTATTTGTGGTTCATGATCATTCTAACACATTTTTACATATTTCTCTTTTCTCTCCACAACTCTTTACCACACAAATCCACTTTATTAAAAAATGGGCCTAGTCAAAACCAAAAATTTCTATTGGGACAGGGGAGTATAACATAAGAAGTAATTTTATTCAAAGCCCCCCAAAATGCTACCCACATCAATTAAATAAAGAAATAAAGACTAAGAGCCCGTTTGGTAGCATGAAAATCGGCTGTTTTGACTGATTCTACTGAAATTTATGAAGTTCTGGCTGATGTGGTTGCATTGGCTAATTTCTGCTGATTTAAGAAAAAAATTATTTTAAAAATATATTTGATTAATAAAATAAAGAAAAAATTATATGTAAAAATAGCTAAAATGATCATCTATAGTAATTTTAACCAATACAGCCAGAAAAGTAACTTCAACCTTACTTTTTCTGCTTATTACACAGTTCAGCGCGCGAAAGCAAAAGTTGCGTGTTTATTAAAAAAGTTGGCTGATAAGTTTAATAAGCCAAAAAACAGTATTGCCAAACCACCTTTAAAATAATATCCAACACTTTTCACTTTCCAAAATTAGGACCTATTTTGAACAAAAATTCTATAGGTACCCCAAAATGTACCCAATTTTGTACCCATCCCCTGAATTGTCTGTGTACACAGGCAATTCGTTCGAAAGAGCGCGTGACTTTTTGTCCAAATGTCTGTGTACACAGAAGGTGTACAGATTGGAGTACAAATTGGGGTACCCCAAGCAGTGTACTGTTTCATTTTGGCCATAACGTACAATAAACAAGAAGCACGTGTGTACGTACATCTGTATGATTCTTGAATATAATTACGCTTTTAAAAACGGGAAAAAAGTCAAATAGGCCATCAAACTTACATAAAAAAGTCAAATAAGCCTTTATAAAGGAGGCTCTGTCCGGTCGTGATGAAATTTTTTTAGCATCTTATTCATTAAGTCTCTAGTTTACTTATAGCAAATTGCAGCTAAAACTTCAATCGGGAAAGCATTCAAATGAATTCTTGAAGATAACTGCGAAGTTAAAAGCCCAGTTATATTCAATAATTCATTTGAATGTCTTCTCAATTGAAGTTTTAGCTGCAATTTGGTATGAGTAAACTAGACTTAATGTATAAGATGCTCAAAAAAATCATCAAAAAGTTCCACCGGACAGAGTCTCCTATATAAGGACTTATTTGACCTTTTTATGTAAGTTCGAGGGCCTATCTGACTATTTTCGCAATAAAAATTGATATTCAAATTAAGTGAATAAAATGAAATTGTTTGACTAAACAAAATTAACTTTACAAATCAATTTGGGACGAAGGTAGGTATATAATAGGGTAAAGCCATAAACTATTGGAGCCCAAAATACTTCAATACGTGTCTACGTGATTATGAGAACTGTACTTGAAAATAACAGTTTTTAACGTTTTTGAATACTTGGAGAGTTGGTGAGTAGGATCGGAGTTAAAACATTATTTCTGTTTTCAACATTATGGAATTCATACCGCACTTTAATTTCATTATCAATAACAAATACGGAGTTTAACTTTGAAAGAGATGATATTTGAGGTGTTTTAAGTATGTGGCGAGATGTGCATTTTAACTTGTAAATTTCCAACAATAGCAACTCAATTTCTAATTAGAGCTTAAAATTTATGAAGCGACTGATTTATTAATTACGCAACTCAAAGTAGGATTACTAAGATAAATCAAAAAATGTAAAGGGAACTTGAGAACTTAGTGTAAAATTGACAATCCATTAAATTTTCCCAAGAACAAAATGTATTTTGCACTAATGGAGGGTGGCATGGCAAAACCAACAAACTAAGTTTTACAAAATGTCCCATCTAAGTCTTCTTCATCTACTAACTTTCAAGATCCTAGAACATAGCTCAATTTCGGAAAATGTACAAATAAGAAGTCTACAAAAGATAATGAAACATTTTGTCGAGAAATACTAGAACGTATCTTTATATAATCTTTAAATAATATAAAGTAACAAAGTTGGGGCAATAAATGGAGGGAAAAATCCCGCCCAAAATAAGGGCAAAATAGGAATTAATGGAAAAAATAAATTTGGTATTAATTGTAGTGCATCGTTCATGTACTGTATGGAAAGAATAAGAATGAAAATATGGCAAGATAGATGGAGCCTTTATTGTCCATCTATAGCACGATGAAGCATTTTACACAATAATTTGAAAGTCATCATTTAATCCTCATTATTTATACAACTTATTTCATGTATTATTTTTGGAAAGAAACAAATTAATTTGAACGTTCGTTATATACATATATGTGTGTCATATAACTCATATGTGTTCAATAGTAATTATTAAATGCATTGACCATGTGTCATATGTTTATGGCAAGAAGAGAAGGTGTAACATGTCCTACTTACGGTACGTTGGCACATACAATATTGCATACTATCAATCTGTTATAAACTAATCAAATGAAGTATTACCAATATTGCTAATATTTACTCCTACTTTATATATATAAAGTCGGATTCCAATAAAAAGTGGTCCTTCCATGAAGAATGTGAACGTCTCAACTTTTGATCATCTGAGGTGCACTATTATACATTTATACCTAGATGATTATCATCTTCCACTTTTGCTCATCTAGGGTATACTTTTGCACCCATGAAGTCCACTTTTTGCACAAAAAGAAAAAATTTGATGTATTGTATCTACGAAAATGCCACCAAGAATGAGTACAAATTTTCAAGATTGTCATGTTTTTGCCACTAAGTATGAGTAATAACTATCAAGCTTAAACCATACTATTATATTCAGAGTCATTCGATGACAAATTGGTTAAATTAGCTGAATTTGCTGAAATTGGCGAAGTTCTGACCAAAACAACTGAATGAGATGAATCTGTTGAATTATGTAAAAATTATATTTAAAT